CCATAAACATTACCATTGCCATTACCAGTACCATTCCCATTACCATAACATTACCATTACCGTTATCATAACCATTATCATTACCGTTACTATTACCATTACCATAACCATTAGTATCACCATTACCATTACCATTACCATTACCATAAACATTATTATTACCATTACCATTACCATTATCGTTACCATTACTATTACCATTACAATTATCATTACCATTACCATAAACATTACCATTGGTCCATTACCATTACCATTACCATTATAATTCCATTACCATAACCGTTACCATTATCATTTTCATTACTATTACCATTACCATTACCACTGTTTGCGAGAATTCGAAGAAATGACTGTCTTCCTGCGTGCATGAGCATTTTGGTCTGCCGGACCCACCCGTCCCTCTGCTTGCATGACGAGGGTGGTAAATACAATCATCCTGTGAATTCCTTGTTTTCATCGTGTTGCTGTCTGCAGTGACCGGGGAGTGGCATACACCATGAAGGGTTATCAGATCCCCGAGGGCTCTCGCACGGCCATAGGCTCTCCCATATCCCAGGCATGTCATCCCCTCTCCCACTTCTCTTTCTGTTTCTTGCTCCTGTGCCGCTTCCCTGTGGATCTTGGCTTGTCTCGGGGCAATGCGTGGCTTGAGTTCCGAACTTGTTCCGGTGTCACCTGTGTGGGCATGCTTGGCTTGAGTTTTAGGAACACCGAAACCTGTTTTTTAATTCGCTCTGAAATATTCTCGCTCTCCTAATCCTTGACCCACACACCCCCACCTCTTCGTCAGATCGTGCCTCTGCAGGGCTCAGAGCGCATCACATCCATGCTGCTGCTGGGGGACTTTTCAGAAGACGCCTATCTCGTTATGATGATTCACAGTACCCCGACCACCCCCTCCCCTCTCTCTCCCCAAACACCTCTCCGTCCCCTCTTCTTCCCCCTCCCCCATCAGATCGTGCCTCTGCAGGACTCAGAGCGCATCACATCGATGCTGCCGGTGGGCGATTTTTCAGAAGACGCGTATCTCGTCATGATGACGCGAGGGGGCTTCATCAAGCGCACTGCTCTGCATGCGTTCAGTGACACGCGGAAGAGCGGCCTCATTGCCATTCAGCTGGTATGTATGCATGCATGCCTCACATGTGTGCCTCTCTGTCCGTCTGTCTGTCTGTCCACACTTATCATGACGCGAGGGGCCTTCATCAAGTGCAGCGCTCTGCATGCGTTCAGCGACACACGCAAGAGCGGTCTCATCGCCATTCAGCTGGTGGGTGGTATGAATGCATGCATGCAGCACACATCTGTCAGTCTTTCTGTCCATCTGTCCACACTGATCGTGACGCGAGGGGGCTTCATCAAGCGCACTGCGCTGCATGCCTTTAGCGACACACGCAAGAGCGGCCTTATTGCCATTCAGCTGATGGGTCCACCTTTCCTTGTGCATAGCCTATTGCTATACAGCTGGACTGGTGGTGGTGAGTGTACACACCTATGCGTGACCGTCTGTCCACACTTATCATGACTCAAGAGGATTCATCAAGCGCACTGCGCTGCATGTATTCAACTGGTGGGTTTGCATGCACTCTCAGTGACACTCGCAAGAGCGGCCCGATTGCCATTCAACTGGTGGGTCTGGTCAAGGTGGCAAGGTGTTGGTGGATCAAGTCAAGGTGGGTCTGGCTGGTTCCATGTGATGCCCTGCCCTTAATGGCGAAAAGAGCTCATTGCACTGCTAATTCTTTCCAACTACACCGCACCAAACTCTGTACCACCGCCTCCCATCCTTTTCTGCCTTTCCCTATCCATGTGGTACCCATAATACCATTCCACTGATGGGCGGCAGGGCGATGGCGATGAGCTGGCGTGGGTGCGGAGAGCGACAGCTGGCGACTCCCTATTGGTTGGCTCGCAGTTTGGCAACATCGTTCGCTTCGCGTGCGACGACGACCAGGTATGTCTTCTCTTTCCCGTGTTCTCAGTTCTTGAGGCGCCTCAGAAGGAGATTTTTTGAGGCACTTTAAAACACGATTCCTGAAGCGCATCAACAAGCAACATCTTTCCTCCCTCTCCTCTTCCTCACCCCCTTCTCCTTCCCCCCCACAAAATCTGCCTTCTTCCCCTCCACCAGCTGAGGCAGAGTGGGCGCACGGCGAGGGGAGTGAAGGCCATGCGCCTGAGGGAGGGGGACATCGTCGCTGCCTTGGAGATCGTGCCAGCTGTCGCTTCGTGAGTGGCTGCCAGCTGTCGCCTCGTGAGTGGCTGGCTGCTGCTACTCCTGTCTTATGCTCGTGGGCTCATATCCCTCTGCTGTTGAGTCGACTCAAAAGCATGCTCGTCGGCTCATCCCTCTGCTGGGCTTGCCTGGCTGCCTTCTCTTGCTTGCGTACTCACTTGTCTGATCTGCTTACGGCTCTTGGCTGAGTTACGCATCTGTGTGAATCATTGTTTGCATGCATGCATGCAATGCCGGAAAGCACACACTCCGCTTCTTGGTGCTTCCTTTTCTACATTCTCTTCCCTTTCTTCCCTCCTTTCCCAGCGAGTCCAAGGACGGGGGCCCGTGGGTAGTCATGGCCACTCGCAACGGGATGGGCAAGCGTGTTCCCACGAACCTGTTCGCCAACCAGAAGAGGGGCGGCGTGGGAGTGAAAGGCATTAAGGTGAGTGAGTGAGTGAGTGAGTGAGTGAGTGAGTGAGTGAGTGAGTGAGCTTGGGAGTGAATAGAGTGCGGGGCGAGTGTAGTGCCGAAATGGATAAGCGTGTTCCCACGAACCTGTTTGCCAACCAGAAGAGGGGGGGCGTGGGGATGAAGGGTATCAAGGTGAGGATGTGGGGTGAATTGAGTGCGGGAGCGTGTGATTCAAGTGCCATGGGCTGGGAGCAAGCGTGTTCCCACGAACCTGTTTGCCAGCCAGAGGAGGCGTGGGGGTGAAGTGCATTAAGGTGAGCGTGTGAAGTCAGTTGAGTGCGTGAGGGGGTTATGTTACGATTTGTGAAGCCAGTCAAGTGTACAGGGCGCCACTTGGCTGTATGTGACAATGCCATTTCAATGTAGTGATGGGCTGGGAGAAAATGTGTTTTCCCACCAACCAGTTTGACAAAAACAATGACTTTGAGTCGACTCAAAAAACTCTTCAATATAAAAATCTATACTGCTTCTGAGTCGATTCAAAGATGATGGGCTGGGAGCAAGTGAGTTCTCCCACCAACCAGTTTGACAAAACAATCTCCCAACTACCCCCTCCCTCTTCCCCCACCCTCATCTCCCTTACTGAGTGCCTCAACCGCAGCTGGGCAAGGGGGATGCACTGGTGGCACTGTGTTTGGTGGGCTGTTCAGGGCGCCTCACAGGAAGCTCCGAGGTGACTTTTGAGTCGACTCAAAAGTCACTGCGTCTGGTGGGCTGTTCAGGGCGCCTCACAGGAAGCTCCGCCCGAATACCTCTCCCATCTTCTCACTGGTGGTGCTCCATCCCCCCACCCCCCCTCCCTTCTTCTCATTGTGTGCATCACGTGCAGCTGGGTGAGGGGGATGCACTGGTGGTGCTGCGCCTGGTGGGGGAGGGCACCGGTGACAGAGATGGTGAGTGGGGGGAGTGGGAGGAGAGGGCGTAGAGAGGGGAGGAGAGGGTAGATGGGATTGGGAAAGAGAGGTTATTTCTGGTGACGCTGCGTTGAGAAATGAATGTGTTTGTGAGTGGCGAGGAGAGGATGTTTCCTTACACACCACCCCTTCCACTTCCCCCCTCCTACATCTCAAATGCCTAATTGCCCCTGCCTGTTACTCCCCAAACGCACTTTCTTTTCCGCATACATCCCCTCCGATTCCACACAGCCACAGAAACCACTCCCAACGAAGCTTGTATGGGAGCTGATAGTGGGCAGCGATGGGGGAATCATCGACCGGCTGCGAGTGCGAGACATCCCCATCCTCTCATCCCCATCCCCCAACCCCCATCCCCTCATCCTGCAGCTTCTGACACTGTAAACGGCGAGCTCTTAGTGGGCAGCGACGGGGGAATCATCAACCGGCTGCGAGTGCGAGACATCCCCATTCTCTCCCGCACCACGCGGGGTTGTCGCCTCATGCGCATCGCTCCTGGTGACAGCCTGGCATCGCTGTCGCTGGTGCCGGGTGCTGCAGAGGGAGGTTTAGATGAGGAGGATGGGGTGCCGTTAGTAGTGCCTGAAGGGGGGGTGAGTGACGAGGAGGGAGGGGAGAGTGAGGAGGGAGGGGAGAGTGAGGAGGGAGGGGAGAGTGAGGAGGAGAAGGTGGAGGAAGGGAGCAGGGTGAAGGCGAAGGTGGTGCGGTAGTTGGGATGTAGGAGGAGGGTGGTTGGTTGGATAGACAGGTGAAGTGCAAAAGCTTAGCTGCGCAGAGCGTACAAGTTCTGGATCGAAGGGTTTAGCCACAGGTGACAAGTTTTGGGTGGGGATTCAATTAGTGAGCCTCCATTTGCATCGCACACACCAGGACACAGGCTTGAGCAAGGCTATAAATCAACTACTGTACGGTCAGTACCCCAGGATATGGTGAGTACAGAACACATACACATTCACTAACTTCACATACGGTACTTCTTCGATACATACATGATATCGTTCAATACTTGCACAGTGCGATACACTGCAACTGCAACACTTCTCTTGGTGCAGCATGGTGTAACCCGTACTTCTCTTTTCCATGCCTGTATCGTCAATACAGCGCACTAACCAGGGTAAAAATTCCATGCAGCTTTTTCTTCACTACAACGATGAAAGTGGCCTACCCACGGTTCTGGCCTGAATGGGGCGTTTAAAGGGGCGTGCGTGGATAACCCATACTTTCAATGGCAGTCCCAGGTGCAGCAGGGAAAAGGGATGAGAGGAGAGGCGTGTACAAGAGTACTTGCAGGTGGAGAAGCTTCCAATGCAAACCCAGAGGACCTGGGTCCTGTTCACTGCGACCTGGGTTTACAGCAGGTCCTCCTGTCCTGTTCTTTCACTCACTCCCTCCTAATCCTGCGCGCAAAACAGCACCCAGAACACCAATGGTTAGACAGAGATGTGGGGGACAGAGAAAATGAGAGAGAGGGAGCCTAAACAAAGCAATGGCAGCACTGGTAAGGGGGGGGGGAGGGAAGGGATTGTAGCACCAAAGGGATTTTGACCATCCTGAATGCAAGATCAGACTGTGAAAGAAGCGCCAAGGGCCGAGAGAAAAGTATGAGGCGGCCCCAGGCATGCTTACCAGCCCTGCTCCCACCCATGGTTACCTGAGGAACTAGCTGAGGAAGTATCAAGGAGTCTGGACGCATTCCATACCTGGGGCAGTTGATCGGACGGTCCTGATGCACCAGTGGCCGTGGGAGGGACAGGAGCAGGGGCAGCAGAGGCAGCAGGGGCAGCAGGGGCAGCAGGGGCAGCAGGGGCAGCAGGGGCAGCAGGGGCAGCAGGGGCAGCAGGGGCAACCCTGCTCCCACTCTGGTTACCTGGGGCACTATCGAGGCATCTAACCCTCCATACCTGCGGCAGTTGATCCGTTGACCCGGATGAGCCAGCAGCGGCGGCAGCAGCAGATGGGACCAGGGCAGGGGCAGGCGCAATGGGGGGTGGTGCAAAAACGGCAGGCGCAGCGGGAGCAGGGGCAGCGGAGGCGGCTCTAGCGGCAAGCGGGGCGGAGAATCGTGGCACGTGGCCGTCGAGAATGCGCGAGCAGTCGGTGTAGGCGGAACCGACGCCGCAGCCGGCGCCGAAGGCGAGAGCCGCCCAGCGACTCGTGGGGGACCCTGAGGGATGGCGGGAGGGGGAAGGAAAGAAAGGATGCGGGGGGAGAAAGCAATTGAGCGCGTGTAGAAAGGCGCGACAGCAGACGGTGTAGGCGGAAGCGACTCCGCAGCCTGCGCCGACGGCGAGGGCGGCCCATCGACTCGCGGGGCTCCCTGATTGGTGAAGGAAACGGCGGGGGGAGGGGAAAGTACAGCTAGAGCGTGGGACACGCGTGGGGGGGAGGAATAACTAGAGCGGCCAAGCGTATCGTGGGGCTCGCTCAAAACAAGTCGGATCGCTCACGGAACACTCACTAAAGGCGGATCACTCACTAAAGAGGACGAGCCCGGTGGCGGCGCCCGCGAGCGTGCTGTAGACGACTCGGCGCAGCGAGAGGTCGACGCAGAGGTCCCATTTGTCATCCATTAGCAGATCCTGCGCGCGCCGACTCGGAGCCGCCATGACTGCCGATTCCGATTCCTTTTCGTCCTTTGTTTCTTTCTTCCTTTTTATTTCGGTTCGCTTTCACTTCTTTTCTTCTCCTCGTTCTCCGTTCGAAGGTTCTACGACGGCGGTAACCTTCGCGAAGCTCCTGGCTGTTCGCGACCGCGATACGGCGCCCCAAAAACCGGTACGCGCAAGCTTGTAGTACGAGACTGGTGGTGGGGATTCGCTAGTACTACGGATTCGAGCGCAAAAAAACTGAGATTCGTGCGCAAACCTGTATTTGAAGGAATAAAGACTCGCGGAAACCAGCAGCAGCTTCGCGCAGCCTCTAGCGCGACGAAGATCGGGGAGCGACGGGGATGCCGCTTGTTAGAATGGCTTAGAAACTGGGCTGGTCAAAGCGACTGGCGGAATGCGGTGTCGGAAATTAGGGCTGGGAGGTAAACGCTTGGGGGAGGGGGGAGGGGGAAGATGGGAGGGGAGAAAGGGGGGTGGGGGAAGGATGGTTGTGGAAAAGGGGGGGTGTTTGTGAGGTGGGGGGAATGGTTGGGGGAACGGTTGGGGCAGCTGTGTGGGGACATGGAGGAGGGAAAGTGATTTAGCTTGGGAATCCATTTCCCCGTTTTCAGAATTTTAGTGAAGGATCTTATGAGGGGGATGAATCTGCACGTGGTGGTGTTAGTCTTCGCTCAACCGTAATCGAAGCCTAATTCACCACGTGAAATCGCAGGACACCTCACTAAACCTGCGACAAACGCTAGTTCACAACCTGAACGGACACGAGACAAATACGGATACAGCAACCTGTGACCTAGATGAATATAAATTCATGGACGCGCATTTCCGCGCTGCGCTGATCGTAGGTATTAGCCGTGTTGATTGAACACGACTTACCAGCTCATTGCAATCGCAATTCCTCCAACAAAAAATTCGGTAACATGCTGCGACTTCATCATCAGCAAATTCGGAACCCTCATTTTCCTTGCGCATTCGCGTCGCGGCCACCTCGCGACCAGGTCGCATGTTCCCCAGTCGCGCGTCTTTGGAACAGTCGCAATAGCGTCGCATGGCACCCCGGCGACAGCAATCCCTCCAGGCAGCGAGGGACCATTCCGATTCACCTTTCCCACTCGCAGCTTCGCCATCCCTGTTTCCCGCTCATATCCTCACAGCACCATCCCGCTTCCGATCCTCCGCCAATTGCAGCACCACCAACGGCAGCAGCGTTCCGCAGGGCCGTGCGCATCGGCCTGCTGCTTCTGGGCGGCACAGCGGCATTCGCGGTGGGCTGCACCACTGTCGCATCCGCCATCTTTGTCGTGTTCGCGTGCAATCGCGGGATGGATGGACGGCCAGGATCCGCTCCTCGCGACTGGGGGGCGCTGTTTGACGGGGGAGGGGGCGGGGATGCGGGAAGTGGGGGAGGGGGTGGCGGAAGGGGAGGCGGAGGAGAAGGGGGGAGCGGAGGGATGGGGGGAGGCAACCAAGGAGAAGCCATTCATTCGAAATTTGAGATGTCCCAGCAAGAGGTGGACGATGGTGATGGCGATGATGGGAATCAGTCAGGAGAAACCGAACCTGGGGGAGCAGGGATGATGATGAACACTGGCGAAGTTGCTTCTGAGAAATCTCTAGTTGAACGGGGCGAGGTTGCAGCACCAGTGTACATTATAATCCCCGCTCTGAACGAGGCCTCAGCGCTGCCAATCACGCTGCGCCACCTGTCAAAGCTCTCCCCACGGCCGGCTGGCATCATCGTTTCCGACGGCGGCAGCACAGATGGCACGCCGCGATTGGCTGAATCTTTGGGCGCGATGGTGGTGGGCAGTAAGAGGGGAAGGTCGGTTCAGATGAACACAGGCGCTTGGAAGGCAATGCAGCTGATGCAGCAGGTGGATGAGAGAGAGGAAATTCCTAAGCAGATGCAGCAGAAGCAGCAGGTGCAGGCGATGCAGGAGCAAAGGGGGGAAGGATCGGAGGGTGATGTGAGACACTGTGTGAAAGACCAGAGTGCAAACCTCATGAATGGGAACAGCGCGAGCAGCAGCATTCTTTGCTTTGTTCACGCGGACACTCTCGTGCCGCTGGATCTCGTCACACTTGCCAGGAGGACACTGCAAGACCAGTCAGTGTGCTGTGGGGGGTTTGTGCCCGTGGTGGCTGTGCCAGGGCGGGTCTTCTGGGGCATGTGTCTCCGGAATGTGGCCAAGACCTGGTACGTGCCGCTGCTTGCCCCTCCACGGTATGCTGAACTGCTTGATGCTGATAAGGCGGCGCATAAGAGCACAAGCAGCAGCAACAGTACCATCATCAACAGCAGCACCACCAGCCGTGGTGGCAGCAGCAGCAGCAGCAGCACTGGAATTGGAACCATAAGTGGTGAGGTCAGTGGTATGGGCTCATCATGGTTCAGCGGTGTTGCGGCGTTCCTTCGGGGTATGCGCATGCTCTACGGAGACCAAGCCATGTTCTGTCGGGCCCAAGACTTTGTGGGCATTGGAGGATTTGATGAGAGGCTGGCTATTTTGGAAGATTCTGACCTGTCAGAAAGGCTTCATGTGGATGGCTGGTGGCGAACCATGGCAATTAGCAGAGATTCGCTAGGCTTCATTGGAGGGTCGCATGGTGATGACAAGTTGATAATGAAACGTGGAGGTAGGATGGTTATGCTTTCCCGAGTGGTGGTTACAAGCGGGAGGAGGTTTGAGCATCTGGGTATATTTCAAGCCACCTTTGCCAACGTGATATTAGCAAGCGCATACATATTTAGAGCTCCACCCGATGTGCTTTACAAGCTGTATAAAAGGCTATATTGTGATGTGAGATAGACAGTTGTATCTTTCCTTCCGAAACATACACTCCGACAGTTTATTGCAAATTTGCCGAGGGCTGGATATTCCATATTCACAGTCGAATCCGACCAATCATGTCACGCCGCTCAGTTCACACCTCAACAAGCTCTGCGTCCAGGAAGGACTGAACGCCAACTCACCACACGCGCCGAGACTCTGATTGGATGAAATCGAGGAAGAAATGCGGCCTAGGGCACCCTGGGAATCTCTTCTTTTCCCGCCTTGCAGACAGGCGCGACTAGCTCAACGAGGTGGTGAAAATCCCTCGAAGTAAATCCCAGGGAAACTACTCCAGAGCTGGACTTTATATGAGTCGAATACACCCTCAGGATTACATTGTTTGACGGTTCTCTGGATTTGAGTTTTTCCTCTCGTTCCCTAGCCGCGCTTGCAGCTCTGATACGTCGTCGTTGGGAGCGTAAAACCCATTGGACAAGAGCTTTCTGGCTCGCCTTTTTGCGTAGGTTTTAGTCTGACTCAGAAATCGATTCTGTTGGCGGATCGGCGCTCTGGCTACTTCGACCGTCGTGGCGGAAGCGTCGTTGCCTTCATCGTCCGAGGACTCGTCGTCTGCGGAGTCGATGGTGCCACAAGGTGCCGCGAAAATGAACTCCTTCGAGATCGAGGACAGTCCCTACAACAACGACAAGCGGCGGCGATCCAACAGCCTCTTTGTGGTCAGTGGCTGTGCCCCTCGCTCTTCGCCCCTCGCTGCATTTCTTTGCTTCGATTAAGTCTGCTAGATGAACGCTTTCGAGGTCGAGGACAGTCCCTACAACAACGACAAGCGGCGGCGATCCAACGGCCTCTTCGTGGTCAGTCCCTCATTCTCTTGAGTTTTGAGGCTTCCTAACACCTAAAACTCATTCAAGCTTTTCGTTCACCAGTTTCGGGTTCCTGATGCCGGCTCGTAGCCAAGACTCAAACATAAAGAAACGAAACAGGCGTGCTTAAAATCTAGGCCGCCTAGATTCCTGAGGAACGGAAGGGCGCAAGTCGTTTCGCTGCTAGTCGTTTTGCAGCAACGTTGAGTCGAGAAGGGTTCAACCCAAACGCTGCCGACGGAAAACCTTCCTCCATATTTAATCGCGGTGAGAAGGAGGCGAAGTTGGGCGACAAGACTTTCAAGCTCATGCGGCATTCCACGCATACGAAGCGAATGCGGCATTTCACTTATAGAAAACGAATCCGGCATTTCACGCATACCTTTTCTAGGCGCCTAAAAGATGCGATGGCTGTGAGGAGAAGCCATGGTCGACATGAATGAACGGACGCGCCGTTCCAATCACGCCGGCTGTGAACGGCCGCACGTTTGACTCAAACTCCCCGCCGGCTGAGAACGGCCGCACGTTTGACTCAAACTCCCCGCCGGCTGAGAACGGCCGCACGTTTGACTCAAACTCCCCGCCGGCTGAGAACGGCCGCACGTTTGACTAAATTCCCCGCCGGCTGAGAACGGCCTCACGTTTGACTCAAACTCCCCGCTGGCTGAGAACGGCCTCACGTTTGACTCCAACTCCCCGCCGGCTGAGAACGGCCTCACGTTTGACTCAAACTCCCCGCCGGCTGAGAACGGCCTCACGTTTGACTCAAACTCCCCGCCGGCTGAGAACGGCCTCACCCTACACTCGAATCGCCTATAATTTTTTTCCCGCTCCCACTCTTGCCTTCGCCCCCTTGCATCCCCCTCCCCCTCTTCTAGGCTCGAAACCTGCTGCAGCCTCCGAGGTGACTTTTGAGTCGACTCAAAAGTCACATCCACCCGCATCCCTCCCGTTCTCCCACGCCGGAAACCTGTTGGAGCCTCCGCCCTTCCGTGTAGCGTGTGCGGCGCGTTTGTCTCAAACTGTCCACCCCCCACCCAACCCCAACCTGAGTCTTTCTCCCTCCCCTTCCTCCACGCCGGATCCTGCTGCAGCCTCACGCCCTCTGTGTAGAGTGTGCTGCATCTTCTCTCTCAACCTGTCTCCCCGCTCCTTTCCCCTCCCCTGGGTCTTCCACACCCCTGCGTGCCTTCCCCGTTGCCTGCAGCGAGCGGGCGTGTACCTGCAGCAGTTGCCAGCGCTTCAGTTCGCTGCCTTCCTCTGTGCTCTCCTCTCCACTTTTCGAGCCGACTCAAAAGTTCATCCCCACTCTTTGCTCCCTTTTTCTTCCAACTGCCTGCAGCGAGCGGGTGTGTATCTGCAGCAGTCGCCAGCGCTTAGTTCGCCGCCTTCCTCTGCACGCTCGTTTTCTCAAGTCAAGTCACCCCCTTCCCCCCCCCCACCTCTTCCCTTGGGTTCTCACATGCTGTTCTTCCAACTGCCTGCAGCGAGCGGGTGTGTACCTGCAGCAGTCGCCAGCGCTTCAGTTCACCGCTTTTCTCTGCACGCTCGTTTTCCTCTGGGGCATCACCTTCGCACTCTCCCCCAACCGCCTGCCGTAGCTGCTGTTACTGCCAAACCTCCTGCAGCTGCCGTACCTGCTGGTTGCCATGTCTTAGCACGCTCCCCAGCTGGCACTGGGCCATCATGTTTGCACTCTCACCCAACCGCTCCTTGCCGTAACCGCAGTAGCTGCTTTAGCTGCTGAGAACAGGTGGCTGAGATTAGAAGAATAAGCCATGCTGGGGGAAAAAGTGCTAGGATGTTGATTTTGGGGGGGGGGGGGGGGTGGGGTGGGGGGATGAGGAGGGGTTGGAGGCGGGAGGAGGGAGGGTTGGGTGTGATAGGAGGGTTGGGTGTGATAGGAGGGTTGGGTGTGATAGGAGGGTTGGGTGTGATAGGAGGGTTGGGTGTGATAGGAGGGTTGGGTGTGATAGGAGGGTTGGGTGTGATAGGAGGGTTGGGTGTGATAGGAGGGTTGGGTGTGGTAGGAGGGTTGGGTGGAGGATATAAATTTCAATTATGAATATTTTTGAAAGCTGTACCGTAACTCTTTTCAAAAATTTGTGTTTTGAAAGGGAGGCTGTTTGTAATGTAGGAATGAGCAGAGTCGAATCGTGCTAATCGCCCGTTTTGGAGTACAAAACGTGGGCTGGAGGTCATTTCCCTCCACCCACGTCTCTCATTTTCAAACGGTTTAGCACATTTTCCCGCCCACCCACCCCTCGGTACAGCGACAACTTTAGCGAGATGTCAGCATTGTAGTATGTTAGAATTGCTTGGATTTCAATTGTACTAAACCCACTTGAAATGAGACGATGCCATGTCTACATGAAAGAAAGCAAGCTTTCTAAATGTGGAAGTGTTAGAAACCTGCATGTATGTCAAGTATAACTGTAAAATACATTCAGGTGTGAAAGCCACCTTTACATATTTTTTGTATATGGATTTGTGTATTATGACACACAAAGCTTTGATTGTGTATACTAAGTTCTAAAAGCTACACTAACCTTATTGAAATATTTCATAAACCAGCTGTTCTCTGTGACGGGCAAAACTCGTAGCACTCTCCTTGTCAGCCGCCGAGTCTCTGCTCTCCCATACCCTTCCCCACATCTCGCCACTGCCTCTCTCCCTAATGCCCTCCCTGTAGTGTCTCTCCTCTCTTCCTTTTCGCTCTTCCTCCATCTCTTCAGTCAAGATATCCTGCTGCTGCTTCCTCTTCTCCCCATCTCCCTCCACCCTTCTCACTGCTTCTAAGTCTCTAAATGCCTCAGACCCCTGATCTCTACCCTCCATTGGCAAACTATTCATGTTTTCTTGCCGAACCTCCTCTCCAGCCTCGTCCCAAACCTCCTTCTGAACTTCCTCCTCAGCCTCCTCAACCTCCCCCCGAGCCTCCTCATCAGCCTCTCCAGAAGCCCCCTGCTCCTCGCCAACCTCCCCCAGCTCGTCCCGAACCTTCCTCCGAGCCTCATTCCATGCCGTGGCAAACGCACAGTCAGCAGCATCGATTGCTGACGTGGCATAATCCTCCACGTCACCATCCAGAAAGCCTCGCCCTGTCTCCCCGTCAGCTTGAATCGGCGCTCTCAGCAGCCTAGTCAGCAGCCCATACTCCTCTGCGCGTTTAGCCCGGGTAATTTCCCCTCGAAAAGTCTGCCCTAGTACACCATGCACCGCATCCGTGTTCTGTTGTATAGACATTGGAGTAGCAAGAAAAAACAGAGTAGCAAGAAAAAACATTGGAGTAGCAAGAAAAAACAAACAAGTAGAATTTACATGAGACAAGCAGAGTTCCATGCTTGCTACTCCCCCCACATGCACACAGCAAGCAGCAATGTATCCCCATCAATCCTCACAGCGAGCCTTTTGAATACTAACATTGAGGTACTTAATATAGACGTTGAAGTGAGTGTAAGCCTCGTCAGCCGTCTGCAGCAGCGGGTGTGCGGCATGCAAGGACAGCTCCATGCTTGCTACTCCCCCCACACGCACGCGGTATGTGTCCCTGTCCCTCCCATCCCCCATGCCACCCGCCTCTGCCAGCACCATATGAAAGGCCCCCTCCCCATGCACTGCCTGTCCCACCTGGATTTGGAGGGAGGAGGGGAAGGAGGAGCAGAGAGGGAGGGGAGTGGGAAGTGAGGGGGAAGGGAGAAGGTCGGAGAGCCACATCCCTGCCATCCCCCATGGCCCCCGCCACTGCCAGCACCATGTGAAAGTCCCCCTCCCCTTGCACTGCCTGCCCCACCTGAGGAAGGGAGGGAGGGAGAGGGGGAAGAAGGGGAGCGAGGGGGAGGTGAGGGGACGCGCACATGGTATGTGACTCTGTCCCTGCCATCCCCCATTGGCCCCGCCACTGCCAGCACCATGTGCAAGGACCCTTAGTTTTGAGTCGACTCAAAGCTGCCAGCACCATGTGAAAGGACCCTTCCCCATGCACTGCCTGCCCGACCTGATATCCCGTCCCATAGAAAACGCAACCACCTCCATTCTCTTAAAAAAAAAAAAAAACCCTCTCCCCCCACCTCTGCTGCCCCTAGCAGCCCTACTTGTTACCACGAATTACCTGAGTGGGAGGGTAAGAGGTCGCCGCCCATCTCCATCCTCTCAATGAAGCCCCTCTCCCCCCGCCCCTGCTGCTTCTACTGCCCGTAGCAGTCTCAATTCCCAGCTTGTAATGGCGAATTACCAGAGTAGGTGGGGTAAGAGGTCGACCGTCCATCTCCATCCGCTCAATGAATCCCCTCTCCCCCCGCCGCTGCTCCTGGCCGTCGCGCGCCTTCAGGAACGCCGAGTGCTGCCGGCCAATGGGATCTCGCCACGTCATGTAGAGCTCCCTGGATGGCAGGAGCAGGCACGAGGAAACGGAAAATGACAACAAGGATGAGTTCCTTGATAAGAATGGGAATGACCATCCTCGCGTCCATGTTCATCATTTTTATCGTCGTCCACATTGACATGTGCACACATCCCGGTCAAGGGACAAAAATGTCGACCATCCTCGCTTATTGAGTCGACTTAAAACGAGTCGATTTTTTTGTCGACTCAGAAATCCATCTTCATCATTTTTATCATCGTCCACGTTGACATGTGCACACATCCCGGTCAAGGGACAAAAATGTCGACCATCCTCGCTTATTGAGTCGACTTAAAACGAGTCGATTTTTTTGTCGACTCAGAAATCCATGTTCATCATTTTTATCGTCGTCCACGTTGACATGTGCACACATCCCGGTCAAGGGACAAAAATGTCGACCATCCTCGCTTATTGAGTCGACTTAAAACGAGTCGATTTTTTTGTCGACTCAGAAATCCATGTTCATCATTTTTATCGTCGTCCACGTTGACATGTGCACTCATCCCGGTCAAGGGACAAAAATGTCGACCATCCTCGCGTCCTCATACCCGTTGATGCCCATGTTGACATGCACACACATCCCCCGGTCAAGGGATTAAAATGACCACCATCCTCTCGCACACATCCTCATGCCCCTTGATGTCCCTGTTGACATGCACACACATCCCGGTCAGTCAGCAGGCAGAAGGACCAATTCAGCTCCCCATGAAAGTCAAACCTACCCCAGCAGACACCTAGTCCAAGACACTGCCTAGCCTACCTGATCCAGGACCGTATGTGCAGTCTGTGTCTTCGCTTCCCTCCTCTCCTTCCCCCCACCACCAGCCTCGGATCCTCATACCCCTTGATCCCCATGTTGATATGCTCTATATGCACTAACTGGCATACTCACAAACTCCTTCCATACCTGATCCACGATCGTATGGGCATCTTGTGTCTTCTTTTCCCTCTCCTTCCCCCCACCACCAGCCTCGGATCCTCATATCCTTTGATCCCCATGTTGATATGCAAGTCTCGGTCACTCAGCAGGCAGAAGGACCGGTTTAGATTCCCGTGAAAATCAAATCGCGTGCCCTCCGCGCCCACGAAGTGCGGGTCGTTCTTCACTGTTGCGAGCGGGTTGCATTTGCCTCCGATATAAGACGGAGGGACGCTCTTTATAGTGTTGTCTACAGTGAATTTCATCAGGTTGGGGAGGAGTCTACAGGTCCCAGCTGTGCCGGCAATGCTGTGGGTGGTTGAGAGGAGAGAGGGGTGGGGGTGGGGGGTAGGGAGAGGGAGAAAGGGATGGCTAGTTAGGCTAGTTTCAGCACTCGATAGAAGTAATCGTCTTAAGTACTCGTCTATACCGCTCGTCTGCACCACTTGTGGGATATAGCAGCACAGCAGCAGCACTCACGTTGGCGGCTGGTAGTGGAAGAAGACACACTTGTCGGCCTGCGCGCACGTCTGGCAGCACGCGTTCTCATTTGTGGCCTGCACGTGGATGGGGGAGGGAGAGAGAGGCGCAGGGGGGGGAGGGGATGAGCGGATGTTCGAGAAAGACAGATACGCGCATGTCGTCACCGCAGCATGACCTGGGCATGACGTGCGCATGACGTCATGACAGCAACGTGCAAAGTAGCAGGAAGAGTGAATGCGGAACGAGGGGAGGGACGGGCAGCGGAATCAGAGGGAAGTGGAAGTGGGTCGCGGAGGGCGGAGAGGGCGGGTAGGGCGGGGAGGGCGGATAGGGAGGAGCGGGCGGGAAGGGCGGGAAGGGCGGAGAGGGCGGAGAGGGCAGGGAGGGCGGAGAGGTCGGGGAGGGCGGAGAGGGCGGAGAGGGCGGAGAGGGCGGAGAGGGCGGAGAGGGCGGAGAGGGCAGGGAGGGCGGAGAGGGCGGAGAGGTCGGGGAGGGTGGAGAGGGCGGAGAGGTCGGGGAGGGCGGAGAGGGCGGATAGGGCGGGAGGGGCGAGAGTGAGGCGTACCGTGGTCTTGAGTATCACGGTGGTGCTGTCTATGAGCTGTCGGGGACAGAAGGGGTTGGGGGGAAGAGCGGTGGGGGAGAACAGGAAGAGGGTGGGGAAGGGTAGGGAAGGGCAAGGGAGGACAAGGACGAATGAGGGGCATGGTTCAAGTGGGACAACAAAGGAGAGAGAAGTTGGGGGGAAAAGGGACGCGAGGGGGGGAATCGCTATGTTACCCGCTGTTACCTGCTGTTACCACTGTTGCCGCTGTCACTGTTGAACCAGCGCTGTCACCGCTGTTCCCCGCTGTTGCCAGCACTTACCCGCCGTTCCTGCTATTCCCGATCCGCCTTCTACCGCTACCATTTTGCACCGCCGTTCTCGCTCGTAATCAGTGAGACCGTGTCCCTACACAGGACAGCCGCATTGCACCGTATTAAACCGCACTGTACCGTGCAACACCCACCTTGTACCGCTCGGAATTTATGTTCCCGTTTGAGCTGATAATGGTCGACGCCGTACCCCCTAACAAGCCTAACAAGGGAACCGCATTGTACCGCATCCAACCGCACTCCAACGTGCAACACCCACCTTGTACCGCTCGTAGTTCAAGTTGCCGTTTGCGCTGATAATCGTCGACGCCGTACCCCCTAACAAGCCTAAGGGAAACCGCATTGTACCGCATCCAATCGCACTCCAACGTGCAACACCTACCTTGTACCGCTCGTAATTCATGTTGCCGTTCGCGCTGATAATCGTCGACGCGGTACCCGACGACAAAAGCCACCTGCCCTTGGTGTAGCTGACGCAGCGTGACGTCAGACAGCCGCCCTTTGGCGTCATCACGTCGAGAGTGGCAGCGAGGGCCACGTGGCAGGGGGGGTTACTAGACGGGAGAACCGATGCGAGCAGGACGAGGGGGAGGAGAGCTACTAGGGCGTGGCGGAAGGAAGCGAAGGGTGCGCGCGAGCAGCGGGGCAGGGAGAGCGGAATGGAACGCGGAAGGGGAGTGGCGCGCGGAAGGACAGAGCCGAAAGCGTGGGGAGCGCGATGATGAAGACGGCGGGGGCATCGGCGGCGACATCGGCGGCGGCGGACTCGGCGGCTTCGGAGCGAATAGGGTGGGGAGCGACAGACGGATGGGGAAATGAGGGACGAGAAAAATGGGCGGTCCCGTGGCGTTCGCATTGGCATCATCACGACTTTTGAGGACCTGATCACTATCGGAGGTGCCTTTGTTGGAGATTATTGCATCGGAAATTACTGCACAAATGGTCACTATATCAGACGTTACTGCATCGGAAGTGTGTGCGAAATGGCGACTGCCTCGTGCGACGGCAAAGAAAGGGACTGACAACCACGTATACTATGCGCAATGCTACAGGTCAGTGTTCCGTGGAACTGTGATCTGCTCCTGGACCTCATACAATCAGGAAAATTAGTGGTCCATATAACTAGATCGATAAGAAGGTTGCTAACATAGCTACTGCTCTTGTGCCGAATCCTCTACTGCCGCATCGACTGCCGCATCCTAGTACCACAGAACCTTTTAACGCAGCTTCTAAAGCAGCTTCTAACGCAGCTATTAACGCAGCTATTAACGGCAACCAACGGAGCTCTCTTTTCGCAAGGCATCCTCGGATTCTCGGGGATCCTCGGGACACCTCGCGTCTGACCTCTCTTTTCGCAGGGCATCAAAAGAGCATGTAAAATTGGCTCGACTCATACTACAGCTACGTCACGACTTCTCATCAGCAATTCCTAGCAATGACTTTCTCGAAATAGAAGGATCGAGCCAAAACCGAAGGCACGATAGTTCATCATCCTTGCAGGGCCGTCCTTGATAGATCTCGTTGCCTGAGCACTAACGCACATAGTACAAGAACACGAGGCATAATGATAAGCCGAGCCGACCAGGGGCACCGCGATACAGTGACAGTGACAGTAGCTAACGTAAATCCTGTCTGTGCTGTAATTAAACGGCGCGGTCCCCGCACAAAAAGTGGAACTTAGCTGGCAAAGGTTCACAAATACATTGGGTTTCAAGTGGTTTCAGTACTATCTATACTCATTTTATTCGGTAGAAAATGGTTGAGGTTCAGTCTCGAACCCCCTCAACGTAACACCAATCACCGTGCTGACTGGAAGTGTCTGGCCAACCCCAAGGTGGGATGAGCTGAGCAGGATTCAGGAAATGCTACGTTGCGGGCACCTACGGTACGCATGCGAAATAGTGGTCGCGAAATGCGCGCGAAAATGAATTTGCTGTTGGTACGTGTTGTTGGCGAGCAGCTTGGCGTGGGGCGACAAAACTCGAGGAAGAAGACGACGCTCACGAAATGTTGGCGATTTTATCGATGGAACTGTGGTTGGCGGTTTGTGGTCTGCCCTTCACATGGAGCGGCAGAGGCATAACGATCTCGATTTTGTCTCACCAGGGTCAAGTGAACAGCTTCAGGGGAATTTGCATGGAGCATCTGCGGTGTGGAGTGAGGTCCAGAGTTTGTCCCGAGGACAAATGCACCGATTGACCAATCAGGGATTGACCTAGATTCGAGGCAGCATTTCAAATTTCAGCAGCACCAGCCCTCACCCTACCACCAGCAGTACAGTGTGGTTGGTTGGTCAGTCGTCAATGGTTTTGGCGGGAATGGGAGGAAACAGCTGGTTGGATTCTTCTGTCCCCCAACTGAACCGACTGTAACTGTCAGGATGATGTTGACACGGCCTGCAAGTGGGGAGCATACCCTTCGAACAATGCTGTCGGGAAACATACCCTTTACAAAGTTTCAGCTTCGTTCAAATACACTGAATTACAATCACTGTTTCACCATTTGAAACCAATCACTCATGCTGGAGCCATGTAAATCCATGCGAGTAAGTATACCTTTGGTAACTTGTCGGCCATACCTTAGGCATACCTTTGGTACCTTTGCCAGCCATGCACATAGGGCCTCTCCGAAAAATCGGCATTTTACCGAATGGCCAGCCGCACATTGAAATCTTCAATGCATGCAAAGTCTTCTGTTAAGCACAACATAGTTTGGTCCCATATACGCATGAGCATACCACATAGGAATGCCGCAATACCACTTAACCAGTCAAAAATTGGTTAGTTTTGTTACAATCCCAAATGGGACTTAGCGAAGGATCGCTCGGAGTTGATCGCATAATAGTGTTGCAGCGGAAGTAGTGAACATAGGTCAGAGTGAATGAAGATGATTGAGATTGATAATAGCATACATACATCGTGTTTATATAAGAATACAAGGGAATACGAAAAGACCTAGACTAGCCATGTACTTGTCAAACACTATATGTGTTATTATTGTGTAGGCTATAGTGGGTTAGCCTTTAGGGGGTACACAAAGTTAGGGTTTCCTACTTGTACTCCAACTTTCATAGTGCAATCACTTCTTCTTCGTAACATGGAATCAGAGCAGGTCCTCCGCTAGGACTGATTCTTAGGGCCCACCACTTCTGCTGCTTACTAGCGCCCTCGTGCGCCCCACTGTCGGAGCGCCCTCGAGCGCCTCCCCCTTAGCGCCCTCGTGCGCCTCGTTTTCACGGCCCCCTAAGGCCCCGCGACCCGCGACCCGCCCCTCTTAGCGACCCGCGCGCCGCCCCTTAGAGGCCCCGTCGACCCCGCGCGCTGCTCCTTAGAGGCCCCACTGGCCCCACTTAGAGGCCCCGTCGCCCCCCCCCCCCCCCCCCCCTCCCGGCCCCGAGCGCGCCCACCCCTTAGCGGCCCCGTCGACCCCACGTGCCGCCCCTTAGCGGCCCCGCTGGCCCCGTCGATCCCGCACGCCGCCCCCCTTAGAGGCCCCACCAGGCCCCGTCGACCCCACGCGCCGCCCCTTAGCGGCCCCTGCTGGCCCCGTCGACCCTGCGCGCGAACCCCTTAGAGGCCCCGTCGGCTCCGTTTGCCCCGCGCGCCCACCCCTTAGCGGCCCCGTCGGCCCCCTCTCGACCCACGCGCCGCCCCTTAGCACCCCGCTGCGACACCCACGGCCCCACCAGAACGAGCCGCCCGACCCGAGCAGCCCGAACCGAGCCGCCCAGCCCGAACCGAGCCGCCCGAACCGAGCCGCCCGAACCGAGCCGCCCAGCCCGAACCGAGCCGCGCCGCCTGAACCTAGCCGCGCCGCCCTACCCGAGCCGTGCCACCCGACCTGAACCGAGCCGCGCCGCCCGTACTGGACCAAGCCGCCCTACCTGAGTCGCACTGCCTACTGTGTTTAGGGTGCTCCTACTGCTACTACTGCTACTCTTCTGCTACTCCTACTACTACTATGGCTAGCCCTCCTGTGCTAGCTTTCGATGCTGAGGGCCGCCCAGTGAAGTTCGAAACCTGGCTAGATGACCTACACCTCTTCCTACAGCTCACTGCCAAGGAGGACATCTCACTGTACGATCACGCCCTAGGCCATGCTACTGCTCCTACTGCTACTGCTGACAGCACTGCCCGCTCACAGTGGCGGACTCGTGACGCCCACGCTCGCTTCGCTATTCGCAACTCCCTGCCGATAGATGAGCGCGAGCACTTTGGCCAGCACAAGACTGCACATGCACTGTACACTGCTGTCGTTGCCCGCTACTCCTCACCTGCCTCTGCCGCTCTAGGCCGTCTCTCAGTCCCCTACCTGTTTCCCGACCTGGCCTCGTTCCACACAGTCGCTGACCTCATCACGCACCTCCGTACTAGTGAGGCTCGCTTCCGTGCCGCCATGCCCGACGAGTTCCTTGCCAAGAACCCACCCCCGCTCTGGCTCACTCTCTACCACCTAGTCACCCGCCTCCCTGACACTCTGCGTGCTGTCAGGGATCACTTCCTAGCTCGCTGCCCCACTGAGCTCACCATTGCCCTCCTCGAGAAGGAACTGCTTGCACCTGAGGCTAGCATAGTCGCTGTAGGTGCCTCTCGTGGCGACCCCCACACCCCTTTCTTTGAGGGGTGTTCCCCTTCCCCTCTTCTTCCCTCTGTAGCCTCTGCTTCTGCTGTCGACCTCCTTGGTTCTGAGAAGGTCGGGGCTGCGTATGCTTCGAGCGGGCGCCGCAGTGGCAAGGGCAAAGGGGGCAAGGGAGGCGGTGGTGGGGGTGGTGGCGGCAGTGGGGGTGGTGGTGGGGCTGGGGGGGCTAGTGGCAGCGGTGGGGGTGGTGGCGGCAGCGGCGGGGGAGGTGGCAGGGGCGGGGGCGGTGGTGGGGGCGGTGGTGGGCGCGGCGGCGGCAGGGGAGGAGGTGGTCAAGGAGGTGGCGGCGGCGGTGGTGGTCGTAGAGGCACTGGCGGTGGCCAGAGCCTGCAGCACTCTCTGTCGCCCCGGGAGCTCCGTGAGTGGTACGCTCAGCACGGGGGGGGGGGGGGGGGGTGGACTTAGCTGCACGTACGTCATCCGCACTGGTGATCGCACTGGTCAGACGTGTGGGAGGGCGCGCCCCACGCAGCGCTGCTTCGCACGCCTCGACGACGCTTGGCGTACTCAGTTCCCTGACGCCACTGAGCTGCCCTGCTGGGCTGATCTGATGAAGCAAAACATTGATATCTTTGCTCTAGACTTTGATGCTATTCTCTCTGCCATGTATGTGATGTCTATTAGTGGAGAGGGTGCCCAATACCTGCGTGTTCCGCCCGACCCGGGCATTCGACCCGGTGAGGCTGCCGCTCTAGGTGCTAGAGTGTTTGCTACCCCAGGTGCTGGTGAGGCTGCTGCTCTAGGTGCTGGTGCGTCTGCCCCCCCTGGTACTGAGTCGACTGCGGCACTGCACACCTTTACTCTAGACTCAGGTGCCTCCCGCTGTTTCTTTCGTGACCGCACGGCTCTTGAGCAGCTTGCTCGACCCGTTGC